ACCTTGGAAACCCAAGAAGGGGTTGCTAAGAGTCAGGACCTACTCGACAGCAGTGAGTTTGGTGTGTATATATATATATATATATATATATATATATATATATGTTGGTTGAATACCTGTCATGTTATTTAATATGAGATTTGTGACTTGGACTCCAGAAAACTAACAATGCTAATTATTAACATCTACTGGCTGCTTACTATGTTCCAGGCTGTGTGCTAAATATTTTATTTGTAACAACATATTTAATCCTTTCGAATCTTTAGTATGCGTTAAGTGTAAAATTGGTCTATATTATGATTTTTCAATTATTTAACTTCTAGATAGCATGGTGTTAAATATTAATAAAGTCATACTTCATGCATACAATCTGAAATAATGCAAATAACTCAATAATTTTTCAAGAACCACATAGTGCAAAATCGTGAGGACTGATTTTCAAACTTTTTACAGTGCTATCACATGGTAATCACACTTTTAAGTTTTGGCTGACAAAAAGAAAAGTTTGCTCTTATTTCTTAGGATTAATTTTAATATACTAATTTAATGGTGTTGTTGTTGTTATGTGCTGTTGAGTCGGACCCGACCTATAGCGACCCCTCCTTGGGTTTCTGAGGCAGTATCACTACAGAAGTAGGTTGCTCATCTTCTTTCCGAGGAGTGGCTGGTGGGTTTGAACCACCAGCCTTCTGGTTAGCAGTCAAGTGCCTTAGGCACTACACTACCAGAGCTCCTACTAATTTAATAGAACACTTAATTATATGGAACCTATACATAGACCAAGAGGCAGTTGTTTGAATGGTTTGTTTGCATGGTTTGAAATCAGAAACAACGTGTGTCAGGAAGGTATCCTTTCACAAGAATTATTCAATCTGTATCTGAGTAATATTCTGAAAAGCTGGACTTCATGAAGAACACAGCATCAGAATTGGATGAAGACTCATTAACAACCTGCAACTCATGGATGACAAAACCTTGCTTGCTGAAAGCAAAGAGGACTTGAAGCACTTACTAACAAAGATCGAAGCCTGCAGCCTTCAGTATGGATTACACTTCAACATAAAGAAAACAAAAGTCCTCACAGCTGGGCCATAAGCAACATCCTGATAAAACAGAAAAGATTTACATTGCTAAGGATTACATTTTACTTGGATCCACTATAAACGCCCATGGAAGCACAGTCAAGAAATCAAATGATTTGCATTGGACAAATCTGCTATAAAGGACTTCTTCTTCTTCTTCTTTTAATTTTCATTGTAATTTGGGTGAAAGTTTACAGAGCAAATTCATTCTCCATACAGCAGTTTATACACATTTTGTCTTGTGATTTTGACTGTAATTTCCTGCAATGTAACAGCTATCTTGTCTTTCCACTTCCTTCCTGTAGTTACCTCTTCCCTGTGTCCTTCTCTCCTATGCACTCCCATCACCCCCCCCCCCAGGTGTCTCCTTGTGCAAGCACTGTTCTTCTGTTCTCCAACGATTGATCATTGATCACTCCAAGGATTGTATCTACCTGATATAAATGTTTACCCCATATGTCTATAGTTTGCCTGGAAGCCATAGGAGTTAGTTCAGTTCCAGACTTGAAGGGTAACTAGGGCCATAGTCACAGGTGTCTTCAAAGGGCTTCTTTAAAGTGTTAAAAAACAAAGATGTCACCTTGAGGACTAACGTGCACCTGACCCCAGCTGTTGTATTTTCAATTGCCTCATATGTATGGGAAAATTGGGCAATGAATAAAGAAGACGAAAGAAGAATTGATGTCTTTGAATTATGGTGTTAGCAAAGAATATTGAACATACCACGGACTGCCAGAACAATGAACAAATTTGTCTTAGAAGAAGTACAGCCAGAATGTTCCTTATAAGCGAGGATGGGGAGACTGTCTCATGTACTTTGAACATGTTATCAGGAGAGACCAGTCCATGGAGAAGGACATCATGCTTGGTAAAGTAGAGAGTCAGTGAAAAAGAGGAAGACTGTCAACGAGATGGTTTTACACAATGGCTGCAATAATGGGCTCAAACATGGCAATGATTGTGAGGAGGTGCAGGATCAGGCAGTGTTTCAATCTTTTGTACATAGGGTCACTATGAGTCAGCGCCAACTCAAGAACACCTAACAACAAACAATGCATGCACTCTCATATAAAATCCAACTTTTATTAAATTTGCTTTCCTCCGTGCTTTGTGGGGAAAGGATCTAAGAAGATCAGTATTTGTATGTTTCTGGAGCTTTGGTTATAATGTCATTCAGTGTAATCCTTCTATTATAATAACACACACACACATTTCCAAAATGAGTTATTGAAATTTACATAAAATTTATTCAAAATTTTATTGGTAAAAATTTCTCATCATATTACTGCATTTTCATTTACTGATTCATGGTCTACATTTTTAATTGTTCTTTTACCTCTACTTTGCAGATAGCTTTTTCTCTTTGAATCTTTCCTTCCTTATCCCCAAAATAAACATGCATAAAGATATGTTTCATGTAACACACCTTAACTAAAAATTTATGGACCATAAGGAGGGGGCATATTCCTAATAATAAGTAAAAACCAAAGTCAAATATTACAACTTCTTGCCGAAGTGCCCTTTCAGCAATGTCTTTATCAATAATATGTCACTGAGCACTACATTCCACCTATTCTCCCAGGCTAACCCAATCTCTGTTTTTCTTATTATATATGTATATATATATATATATATACTTCCATTATCATATGAAAAGAAATTCATTCATAGCTCCATACTTGCATGTCTTAAATCATTAAAGGGCTCAGAAAACAAAATTGTCTTTCATGTAAATCATCTGTTTTTCTTAGAAATTAATTGTGGATTAATTAATTGTCAATGTTTTCTTATGTATTTGCATAATATGTATAAAGCATGTCTTTATATCAAAATTATTCAAATCCTATCAATAACTCTACAAAGACATTAGTATTATTTCTCCTTTATGGATGAGAAAAATAAGGCTCAGAAATGTTAATTTATCCAGTGTTACAGAGTTTAAAATAGTAGCCAAAAGTGCTGAGTCCTGGATTTGGATTTGAGTATCTTTTTACCCAATTATTCTGTACTATTATTCCATTAATATTTTGTATTTTTATTCAATTACATTTTAAGCTCAGTGATGCAGATGGCATGGGCAGTGACAGCCTTATACATTTAATATCTATTTTATAACATCATCCTTGATGTAGGAACTCAGTAGTTGCAGAGTGGAAAGATTGAGGCAACTTGCCTAAAATAATTTCAAGAGATAAAATGTTCATACAATCTCAAGAGTGAGATTTTAGGTACATTCAGCAAAGTCAGAGAAGCCCATCTGTTGATCCATTTCTTCTGTAATGGTTCCCACAGGAGACCATGAATCCAGGGGAGTATGCATAATTGCTGTGCATTATCTCAACTGTGTTGTCCCTTCTCAGATTTCTCTCTCAAAGGCTTGTATTTTCCTTAGCCTTAAAGGGCGAAAGGCAGGGGACTGGGAGTATTAGGGTACTTTGCTGCTCCCCAGGGCACACAGAGATGCAAGGGAGTTCAGTAACTCTGATCTAGGATTATCTGCCTAGAAGCATCCTGGAGCCCCATGCACTCAATCATCTGTGACATGCCATGATGGCACAGGAAAATCAATGTGATTATTTAGCAGAGCTTCATCTAGGAAGTGAAGCAAACTCCACCTTTGTTCTAGAGCCCCTAAATACACTTACTAGCCCTAAGTATGGGAAACTAGTCCTTCTCAGATAACCACATCATTCTAATGCTCTTCTGACTGACTTTCATCTCTTTTCCTAACTAGAGCATCCTTATCACTTCAAACGGGGGGTGAGGGGGAGGAAGGGAAAACTTCCACTATTATCGTTCACTCTTCATAAATTCAAAGTTTGGGGAACAAATTTTGACTTTTGGTACTTTTGAGAGTGAAGTTTCCTTTCTCCTAGCTTATTTCTCTGTCACAACTCTTTAAATCTGTAATATTAAAATGAGTTCAGGCTTATTTCTTTTACTTTGTATTTTTGATATAATAAATCCGCACCAAGTGCAGAGGGTATATATGACCTCCATTAATGTCTGAATTGGAGGATGTCAGTGGCAGTGACCAGGGATGGGAACAACAGAAGAGATATTACCAAAGCAAAAACAAAACCCCGGCCATTGAGTTGATTCCAACTCATAGCGACCCCCATTGGATTTCCAAGGCAGTAAATCTTTGCAGAAATAGATTGTCCAGTCTTCCTTCTGTGGAGGGGCTGGTGGGTTTGAACCTCCAACCTTCTGGTTAACAGTCAAATGTCTTAGGCACTGCAACACCAGAGCTCCCCAGAAGAGATACTAACTTCTGTTAAAACATTCAAATATTGTGGTTGCTCCTGTGTTGCTGGGCATGACATATGAGCTTGAAAATGGATTAAATGGGCCTAAAATGTATTTCCTTCCTTTTCCTGGTCAGTACTAAGATGAAAGAAAGGGGAAAAAAATGCAGTAAAAGACTTCATAATGGGAGATTTATTGCTTCCATGAAGATACTGCATCAGGGTTATGAAACTTAAGCAGCTAAGTGGAATAGCCCAGGGGTTCCCATAGTAGGTAACACATGAGGAAAGAAAAAACTCAGGAGGTCAGGGGGTGAACTTTAGGGGGTATGTGAGGTCTGAGGAGATTCAGGACCTTAAGTTCTAGAGAAGAGGTGAGAGGAGGAATGTTTGGAGGAGAGAAGGAATCTTGGCCAGAAAATAGTGCTAGGTCATCTAACAAGTCCACTCTTCTGTTCTTGTGGATGAGCAATAAACCTGCAAGAAGAGATACATGAGATTTATGGTCCTGGGGCGATTCTATGTTATCACATGATAAGTTGTAATTCTCTTACAACTTTTCCACCACATTAATGTTCCCAGACTCCTCCCACAGCTTTCCTTCCTCCTGTACTGGGGCTTCAGCTCTAATAAATCTTAATCCTTACCTTCCTCTTTCTTAACACGTGACTCAAAGGGGGCCTTGGTGTCTGGAGGCACCTCCTGAACGCAGGCCTCGGATGATGAGGATGGTGCCCACCACAATGCCCACAAGGCCCACAGCCAGTCCTAGGGCACAGACTACAGTCTCAGTCAACTCTGACATAGGGGTTGGAATCTCAGGTTCTGTGGAAGTGAAATTGTTGAGGTCAGAATACAGATTCATGTGTATGCCTGTGGGGCAATGTTGGGAGCTTGCAAAGACTTGGGGCACCAGGCTTAGAAGGGAGAGTAAATTCCATCACTAGAAATCCTTGAAGTGTGGGGAACAAGTTTGGGCCATGAAAGTTAGAGCTAAAATGTAAGATATTCTGGATTTGACAGAGAACAAGAAGATTTCAAAACTGGGTGGAGCTTGTACATACCCCAATGCTTCAGAAGCGGCTCATCCAGGCCCCAATGTTCCACTTTGCAGTCATAAATGTCATCAGCAGAAGGAAGGAAGGTGAGGTAACTTATCTTGTGGAAGGAGTGATCACTCTTGGGGAGAAAGTTGGTCTCAGTGACACCTTCTGTGACTGAATGCCCATTGCTCAGCCACGTGATGTTGATCACAGGCGGAAAGATGTTGTCAACAAGACAGATGAGGACATTGGGGTGACCCAGCTCCACGAAAGACTTTGGAAACACAGTCACCTCAGGAACCTCTATGGTGAGGACATGATACAGATATAAACTGCTAACAGCATTGCATTTTAGAGGACCCCTCCCACCATTTCTCCACCTGAAAGTAGAAGCGTTTTTGATTCCCTTCTCCTTGGAAAACACTATACACTCCCTGTATCTTCTTTTGTGGGCATGCTTATTAAGCTAGGAGGTCTATGAGACATCTCTTAGAAGATTCAAGGAATGCATTATGAGGGTAAGTGTCCTTGTGTTTCATGGAAATAAGTGATTTGTGAGATGAGAGATGATGAGAGTTCAAAAATTACCATGAGAAGATGTGGGGATCCCTTGTAAAGGAAAGAATCTTATAGAGTGGTGAGACAAATATCTATGTCTAGGGAAGAAGGGAGTGAGACTTGGCATGAAGTGATAGCTTTAATAAAAAAGAGGTAGAAATGGTGGACACATACCATTGGTAGCAGCAGTAAAATTGTAGTATTTAGTCAGGAGGTCCAAGTTGTATTTTCCCACTGCTATGTTTCTCAGTCCACCTTGTGGGTCAAAACTTAAAAGTTTGCTGAACAAAGGCAGCTGCCACACAGTTTGCTTCTTGTCCAGGTCCACATAAAACTGCTCATCTCCATCAAAGTCATGAGTGTACTGGCCATTTGGACCATAAGACTGGTAGACAGTTGTGCCGTAGGAAGCAACGTGGTCAGCTGATGAGTGAGGATAAGAAGTAGTAAGTGGCAGAGAGAGGGAAAAAAGAACTTTATTAAACAAAGTGACAGAAGAAATTAACTTTCAGGTATTATGAGTTTCACCTTTGGCATAATCTCTGGACAAAATGTCCATCATCTGTCTCCTTTGCCTTAGAGCTGGCAGTTTTCCAGTTAGAATCCATTCTGTCTTTCCCACTCTAATATAGGCTCCATGAGGGCAAAATTTCACATGTTTTGTTTACTGCTATACCCTGAGTGCCCAGGTCATCACCTTACATAGTAGGTACATGATAAATACTGTAACTGAATAGATTCTGGAATGAATGAATGAATGATCATGGCTTTTAAGCTTCTCCAGAGATTCCATTTCCTTTCCTTTCCTTTTTAAGTTTTATCTCTTACTTAATTCTTTGATCAGTTGATAGTACATCATTATGGCTCCTCTGACTTCAGGACTGACCACCAAGCAGAGAAATTTCTACACAGGAATCCCTTCCTCATTTTTACCAAAGGAAAGCAAACAGGATCTTACTGTTTTCTAGAGTTTTGTGAACTACTATGGGGTATAAAGAAGGGTGTAACAGAAAGAATGAACAGATTTATTTAAAATGTGAAAAATAAACAATGCTTCTAAGGTCTCTGTTTTGTTAAGAGCAGTGATCCTTAGAAGAGAATACCTGATACTTTCTGAAATAAAAATGGAAGCTTTATTTGTTTTTGAACTCCTGTCTTCCCCCTTCCTTTTTTTTTTTCCTTAGAAGGAGTTTCTAACTTCTGTCGTTATTCTGACTCTATACTTATAGTCACTTGAGGACTTAAAGTAAACTCAAGCCATTTTTCCTCAACTGAACAAGGTGCATGTGTGAGGATGCCAAAGCAGAATGGCAGCCAGTGCACTGCCGCCTACTGGACACTTTTTGTCAAGACATATATAAACTTTTTACCATTTCATCCTTTCTTCCTTATTTACTGAGCATAACAAGTAACAGAGACTGCAGGGAAAAAACAATGCCAATCAGGCATGTTCTTTGCTATCAAGGAACTTATTGAGCAGTGCGAGAATCAGGTGAATAAAGGAGCAAATACTGTGATGAGTTCTGTGATGGGTATATCTATTATTATTATCATTATTATTATTAGAACACAGAAGTGTGTGGACAGGATCAAAACAAGAATGAAAACGCAAAATAAATATTCGATGAGGAACTGACAGTTTTATTTGAGGAAAGGTGTGAAGACAAGTGAACTAACTAAAAAAGGGGGGAGGGAAGCACATACAAAGCCAAAAAAGGTAGAAATCATCCAAAGTGATTTGGTCATTTCACAGCTTTTTTTGTGTGTGTATCACTGGAGTGTAAAGCATATATCGGAGAATGATGAGAAATAAGGTAGAAAATGGAAGCAGAGGTCAAATCATACAGTCTTTGTAGACCAAAGAAAATCATCCCACTATAGGAAATCATTAAGTGAAGGGAATGACATAATTAAGTTTGTATATATCTTCCTGGCAGGAGCTCTGGTAGCATAGTGCCTAAGGCACTTGACTGCTAACCAGAAGGCTGGTGGTTCAAAATCACCAGCCACTCCTCGTAAGTAGTGATACTGCCTCAGAAATTCAAGGAGGGGTCGCTATGAGTCGGTCCAACTTGACAGCACATAATAACAACATATTTTCCTGGAAACAATGTGGAAAAAGTTATTTGTCTCTTGCTTATTTTTCTAGTCTTATAACATATTCCACAAGTGCCTCATCTGTCAGTCAAACTAAACTACACTAGCATTTCATGTTCATCCTGCCTTTTGGTCAGTCTGTTTTTCTCCTTGAAATGAATTCATCTCTTAGGATTTCCTGGATACCTCCCATTCACCCTCAAAGTTTCTGCTAAGTTATCAAACTTTAGTTAAGCGCTGTAATTAAACATGTTTTAAACTACATCATAACCTCTAACTTCTCCATGTCAATGTCCTGCTTTCCAAGTCCATCTGTTCCTCTTTTGGTTCACTTTCTTCCCACTGGCTGATCAGTTAAAGGCCCTACAACAAACCTTCCTTAAGTTTGCAATGAATCTTCTTGTCTACTCTTTCAAACATAAACATATATAATCATTATTTTTATGTAGTACTTGTCCAGGGCTGTCTAGTGTTGCTATCATTTGAACTGGAATGAATTCACTTTTACAGCTTCAGTCTCAACTAGGTCCTCTGCCCTGTTCAGCAATGGTCCTGCTACTTCCCTGCACCCCATTTTATTTCCATCATTAATCTGTGTACTCTCAGATAGCAGTCTTTTCATCTTTGTATTCCAAAAACTTAGATCACTGCATGCTCAAAAATGTGTATTTAATAAAAATTGCTATTCTGTAAAATCATAGAAATATTTGGGAAGACTGACCAGTACCGAGATAACAGAAGTATATGAAAGTTAGGAACTAGGGCCAGGGCTACATTATGACTTGTGGTTTTTAAACACTATTACCTTCATGGACCTCTTCCTTCATAAAAATATTAAAAATTATATTTTGTGACTACATTATGATTCTCATTTTATGACTGATAGAAAGATGAATATAATCCAGGCTGGATTAAAAATGACAACATTTTTATTAGCTCTAAAAGTTCTTTTTGATTGTAATTTTAAAAGAAAGTAAAACTTTTTCATGGGGCCTTAAAAGTATTATGGCCCTCTGGCACTGTGCCTATGGTGCCTAATGGATAAGTCGGTCCTGACCGGGGCAGTCGGGTGTGATGTTTCAAGAAAGAAAGTTTGGAATACACAAACCAAGTGCACAGGAGAAGCAAGTGAAACTCACTACAAAACAAAATAAATACTCATGGGAGCAGCATGGTTAATAAACTTGCGACGGTTAAAGTCCTTTCCCTTTAATTCCCTTTTAACTATTTGCTTTATTATTCTGTTTTGTTTTTTTCTTTTCAAACCCACTGTTTATGTCTATAAAATAGCAGGAGAAAGATCCTGAAATGTAAGAAGGCTAAAGGAATATATAGAAATATAGAAAATATATAGGAAAAAAAAAAGGTGGACAGCAAAGGTAGAGGGATCAAAAGAACCAAAATATTAATCTATGTTTGTCCTTTTATAAGAGGACTTCATGGAATAGGGTGAAGGATGTGTAATTTGGGTTGATAATTTGAGAATAATACAGTTTAACTCACCAATTTTTCATCATAAGTTCTCAGTTTTAAAATAAAAATTTGGATGTTAACCAGAAGGTCAGTGGTTCAAACCCACTAGCAGCTCTGTGGGAGGAAGATGACACAATCTACTTCTGAAAAGATTTATAGCATTGGAAACCCAACAGGAGTCCTATGAGTTGGAATTGACTCAATGGCAGTGGGTTTGTTTGTTTATTTGCTGAAGGAAAAAACTTGAAGCTACACCTGTAATATATATAAAAAAACAAACAAACCAAACTCACTACCATCGAGTCAAATCTGACTCATAGTGACCCTCATTGGGTTTCCGAGGCTGTAAATGTTTACCGAAGTAGATTGTCCCATCTTCCTCCCGTGGAGCAGCTAGTGGGTTTGAACTGCTGACCTTCCAGGTAGCAGCCAAAGCCTTCTCTACTATGCCATTAGAGCTCCTTACACCTGTAATAGTAATACTTTAAAAATTAAGAATAAACATTGACATTTTTATGTCTTCATTATTTCCAAAGCATATGTATATAAATGTGTGAGGTGACACACTGAGATTAAACAAAGGGTTGTTGTGTTGTTGTTATGTGCCAGCGAGTAGGACCTGACTCATAGTGACCGCCTCCTTGGGTTTCCAAGGAAGTATCACTACGGAAGTAGATTGCCCAACCTTCCTTCTGAGGAGTGGCTGGTGGGTTTGAACCGCCAGCCTTCTGGTTATCAGTTAAATGCCTTGGGCACTACGCTACCAGAGCTAGTGTGATAAAATGGCTTGTCTAAAAGCATTCGGCCTGGTGGACTTATTTACCAGTGCCACTTCCCATCATGGATATATGTACATAAATCTGATACAATGAAAAGAATACTCTTTCTTAAGTGTAGTATAGATAATTCACGGGACTATTTACACCCAAGATATACTACAGGAGAAAGGTATTTAAAGGCTTTAAAAGTTACTCAGAGAAATTTGGGAGTGATAGTTCATACATTTTTAATAACAAAAAAGTAATCTATTTATGGAAGCATTTCTAATGTTTGAGGCAATCGTGAATGAATGCAGTAAATATCTCCAGGATATGTTCTTTGGATCCAGTGCTAGAAACAAAATAAAGACCTCGGTGAAGCTTGCAACAGCATAGGTAGCAGAGAGTGGGGTGAGGCTCTGGTTTTCTGAAGGGAACAACCATAATTAGATTTGCTTAATACTGAGAACAACCTTGAGGAATCTTGACTATTTATCAGCCAGTCTTTATCTCCTTTTTCCACTTCAAATACCTGTTTTCCAACTCCAATCCCCACATTTATCGACTGTGCACTCACCCACAATGTCTTCGCTCTCACAGGTGCTCATCATGGTAGTCAGGGCAAGGACTCCCAGAATCAGAGCTTCATTTAGGATCATCCTCTTCTCGGGGTGGTCTCAACAGTTGCTGTTCAGAGTTGTGGAGCAATGCTGAGAACTGAGCCCCAGAAGGAAATCTAAAGGCACTCAAACCAAACCCTGCCAGATCAAGTTCAGCCAATCAGAAACACCCCTTGTGATGACACCTCGGTTGCCAGTAGAAGAGTTAGTTTTTAGAGGCCTGGAAGGAGACTGGGAAATACCCTGGTTCTGAGGCAGTCTCCATTCAGTGTATACCTGAGGGAATTTTTTTATAAATGGAAGGAGGGTATTGAATCAACCATCTTCTAACTTTTGGGATCAGTAGGAAAACATTTTATCTTTGCTAGTGGCAAAAGGGTTGGAATTCTGATCAGCCTCACGGACAGATGAAGTCATCACTAATATAGTGTTCTTGAGGAATTCTTCCCTGAATTGATTCCCCTCCCTTCCAATACCCACCCCCTTCCCTGCCCTCCATATGTGGATTAGCTGTCTTTCTTTTTGCTTCCAAAGTACATATGTAATTCTCTACATTTTGAGTTGACCCAGTTTCCAAGGAGATCTCTACTGTTGGTTGCCAAGAAATACCTTTGCAGTTTCTACTTATATAAATTCAGTTAAGTGAATTACTTTCTCATGCTTTCAAAAAATCCAGATGTTTGTACTCAGGACAATAAAAAAAATTATAACGCCACACAGTAGTGCCTACAATAACTTCACTTTCTTTACCGCATCAAGATTTGTCTCTGTCGTGAATGTTTTCTATTCTCTGTGTTTAGAAGCTGCTTGTCTTCCTTTAGAGGAAATTAGAAAAAAACACCAATTGAATTAAGGAAAGTTGTGACTGACTCAAATACTCTATGATCTTTTTGTTTTAAATTTAAGAATGTCAATATTCGATGTTATGTGTCTCTGTGGGGGGATGGCTGTGATTTGTAAAATTAGGTTCCTTCATTTAAACTATAGGATCTTTACATATTCTTTCTCTTGTCACATTAAAAACCTGGAGATTTGTGGTGAACTAGGAAATGAGGTAAAGTAAAAATGAGTTCTTAGAGGGAGACATTTTTCCCTCCAGAGGACTCTGTTTTCTGTATTTTATGGAAATCATAAGTTAGCAGAGATTCCATGTGGAATCAACCTCCCTGTCTGTTAGATGGTCCTCTATATTCCAGCTTCTGCCATTGTGAAACAAGAGGATTTTTGAGCTTCCGCTTAAGATGGCCTCTTGCAATGATACAGTTAATGAAGCAGACGTACTTGGAAGATTCAATGATTCCATTTTTCATTTAATATCATTTCCCCTAATTCTTTCCTTTAAATGATTCTGTTAAACCATTCCCTAATAAGTTTCTACTAGGGAAAAAAAAAAAAAAGAAAATTACCTCTATGTCCAGATCTTCTTTCCCCACAGCTCAAAGTTATCTGATGGGAATTTTGTATATATGTGTTATATATATGTTGTTATGTGCCATCAAGTTGGACCCAACTCATAGCGACCCCTCCTTGGGTTTCCGAGGCAGTATCACTACAGAAGTAGATTGCCCCATCTTCCTTCTGTATATAGTGCATAATAGTTACTCTTAGTTTAGCTGAACAAAGTTGCAAAACTGATTGCCTGAAGGCCAATAACATTCTTCATATCCAGTGATAACTGGATCCCAGCAACTCTCTAATCCTAATGTACATATTGCGGCCATTCTTTGCGTAGAAATCTTTATTCAGCATCAGTTAGCAAATATACTTTAAACATTTTATTTAAAATTTTTGAATTTTGATTTAATTAGAACTTCAAAATATATGAATGATAATACAAACAAAATTCAATTGTTTTAATACCTGACAAGGGAGACCAGTTAATACAACTATTAATCAAATTACACACCAACCACTAATGCCAAAGATGAAGAAATCAAAGATTTTTACCAGCTTCTGCAGTCTGAAATTGATCACACGTGCAATCAAGATGCACTGATAATAATGATGATTGAAAGGTGAAAATTGGAAACAAAGAAGAAGGATTGGTATTGAAAAATATGTCTGTGTTGATAGAAATGAAGCTGAAGATCGCATGATAGAATTTTGCAACCAATGACTTATTTACTGCAAATACCTTTTTAAAATAACAAATGGTGACTATACACATGGAACTTTCCAGGTAGAATGCCCAGTAGTCAAATTGACTACATCTGTGGAAAGAGATATCATTAGTCAGAACAAGGCCAGAAGTCAACTGCAGAACAGACCATCAATTGCTCATATGTAATTTAATATCAAGTTCAAGTTGAAGCTGAAGAAAATTAAAACAAGTCCACTAGAGCCAGATTACAACCTAGAGTACATCCTACCTGAATTTAGAGACGGTGGTAGTTAAAGTTGTATGTCAACTTGGTTGGGCCTGGTTGAGTGGCTGGGCAGCTGGTAGTAGTTATTCCCCATGATGAGACTGGCAATCAACTCTATGGTGGGATCTACCACAAGCAGCTGAGTAGCTGCCTTAGGGATGTGGTCTGCTTCCGGTATATAAGCAGCAGCTTTGGGAACAGTATCTAGCTTATGGCACACTTGAACCCTGCATGTAGCCATGTTGTTGTTCAGCAGCCTGCAATGATCTACTGATCTTGGGACTTATAATGGACTTGAATTAATGGCCTGCTATGTGGTTTGGTAACATCAAGAGTGTGCCATTTTATTTATCAACCTTGGGCTTGTTAGCCTCAGTAGCCAGTAGCTGCCTGAGTGAAAAGATACCTCTAGCTTCAGTGGGCCGTGAGTAAGAGGCAGAGCTGAAGCCCAAGGTCAAGGGGCTTTCACACATACCCTAGAGCCTGACACTTTGAAGTTGGACTTAAAGCCTCCAAACTGAGAGAATAAACTCCTGTTTGTTAAGACCATCCCATTTGTGGTATGTTCTTGTCAGAGCAGCCTAGGTAACCAGACCAGAAACCATCTGGTTTGGTTACATCTTGTGCCACTCTAACAGAAAAATGCCACAAGTGGATGGCTTTGACAAATAGGAGTTTATTCTCTTCCAGTTTAGGAGGCTTGGAGTCCAAGTTCAAAGTGCCAGCTCTACAGGCTGCATGAAAGCCCCTCAACTTTGGGCTTCAGCTCTGCCTCTTGTTCCCAGGCCACTGAAGTTGGAGGCTTCTCTTAATGTGGGCAGCTGCTGGCTGCTGAGGCTGACAAACCCAAGGTCAACAAATAAAATGGCACAGTCCTAAGATTACCAAACAACATGGTAGGCCACTAGCTCAAGTCCAGGGATAGTACCAAGATCGACAGGAAACAAGGCAGGCTGCTGAATGAAGACTCAGCTACATGCAGGGTCCAAGCATGCCAAAAAGCTCAGAGACCTTTCTCAAAGCTTCTCCTTATATACTGGAAGCAGACCACATTACTGGTGCTCCAGTAGATTCCACCATGGGGAATACAACATCCAGCTGCCCAGTCACTGAAAACCATGCCTAGGCAAGTTGATACACAACTTAACTATCACACCATCTCAAGAATAGATTTGACCCATTGAACACTAATGATGAGCTATGGGATGATACCAAGGACATCACATATGAAGAAAGCAAAAAATCATTAATAAAACAGGAAAGACATCAAAAGAGACTTACAAGGTGCACTTTGTGTTAAAAGGATGGAAAAGTTTCCAATACATTCTCTGAATGAGAAAACAATCAGAATTTCTCCCATTTATCTACCTGAAATCAAATATATTTTCCATGTTCTCAATATACACTGTGTTTTGTGGGAAAGTGACAAATGTATTCTTTCAATGAGAAAACAATATACTGCTTGCCCCATTCAAGTACACCCAGTAAAAAGAGTTTTACATGTTATCCAATCAAAATTTGTGTTTCTAGGATGGATATTTTCCCAATACATTCTGTAATGGGAAAACTTTGTATTGTTTTACTGAGGGGGGAAAAAAAAAGAAGATAGGAAAGAAAGAAAGACCGAAATGGATTTCAGAAGAGATTCTGGTGAGTAGCTAAAGCAAATAGAAGAAATAATGAAGCAAAAGATCTGAACAGAAGATTTCAAAGGGTGGCTCAAGAAGACAAAGTAAAGTATTATAATGAAATGTGCAAAGACCGGGTGTTAGAAAACCAAAAGAAAAGAACACGATAGATATTTGTCAAGTTGAAAGACCTGAAGAAAAAATTTAAGCCTTGAGTTGCAATACTAAAGGAATCTATGGGCAAAATACTGAACAATGCAGGAAGCATCAAAAGAAGATAGAAAGAATACACACAGTTACTGTACCAAAAAGAGTTGTCAATGTTCAGTCATTTCAGTAGATAGCATGCAATCAAGAACCAATGGTATTGAAGGAAGACATCCAAGCTATACTGAAGATACTGGCAAAAAACAAGGCTCTAGAAATTGATAGAACACCTATAGAGATGTTTCAACAAATGAATGCAGCACTGGAGGTACTCACTAGTCTATGCCAATAAATTTGGAAGACAGCTACCTTTCCAACTGATTGGAAGAGATCGATATTTGTACCCATTCCAAAGAAAGTGATCCAACAGAATGTGGAAATTACTGAACAATATCATTAATATTACACACAAGTAAAATTTTGCTAAAGATAATTTTAAGATGGTTGTCGTAGTATATCAACAGAAATTAAAGCCAGATTCAGAAAGGGACATGGATATATCTTTGCTAATGTCAGACAGATCTTGGCTGAAAGCAGAGATTACCAGAAAGATGTTTACCTGTGTTTTATGCAAAAACATCTGACTGTGTGGATCGTAACAACATATGGATAACATGTTGAAGAATGGGGATTTTGGAACACTTAATTATACTGATATTGAACATCCAAGAGACACTGGGTTTAAAATCTGGAAAGGTGTGTCTCAGAGTTGTACCTTTTCATATACCAATTCAATCTATATGCTGAGCAAATAATCTGAGGAGGTGGATTGTATATGAGTTTAAGATTATATGAAGAAAAACAACTCATCAGGATTGGAAGATGACTCATTAACAAC